AAAAAAAAACCCTCTAATATTAAAAACACACCTCGCACAAACAAGCACATATTTACGTAGACATTCTGCAATAGGAGACGAGAGTAGTCAACAACGCTTATAGATGCTCTCGAGGTCACTGTAATCAGTCGATGTCCTCCGGTGAGATCCATAAACATTCTCGAGGGAATGTAGAGAAATGGCCAAGAATAACATCTGAGAATCCCAAGAGTCCTGAATTGATGACACAAAGTTTATTGCGCTGGCTCAACTGGTTATCAGTTGGAAATTCCTCAGGGAGGGGGTGGCATTGCATTGTTTATATAAAGTATGTGGTCCTAACTAAATAAAATAAAATAAATAAATTGGAGTACTATTTTAATAAACTAAAAGATTTTCAGAAACAAACCTTATGTGGGTGAAAGTATTTTCATCAGAAGCATAGCATTCATGTAATTTACAGACATTTCCATAACCGAATGGTCTTTTATGTAACAGAAGACATCTACGTAAGAAACTATTAGTTTTAAAGTGTATTTTGCATATACGGTAAACTTTCTAAGCATGTCTCTGTTTTCTCCTCTTTAAGGTAAGCCTGTTATTGTTGCCCACGAGGGCCCAGTTGATGGACAAGTACGATGCATTGCTGCAGGTTATCCAGTTCCTAAAATCAGCTGGTACTTCTGTGAAAGGCCCCGCACAAGGTATGCAAAAAACTATCATATGATCACAAGAGCAACACACAGATTAGTTTATTTAGCCTACACTGGAGTAGATGCAAAAGCTGTTCAAACAAAGGAACATGTTAAATTATGATAGTCAAAATCTCAAATGGATGATGGAATGATGATCTGGCAGATGAAATGATCAAGGGAGTTGAACTGATGAACTGCATAAATAACTAGTAAATGAGATCAATAATTGGCAAAATCACTGCTTTGCCTGCAAATATCAAATCAAAAGGTTTGCCCAAATATATAAATAATAACAAAATAATATTGTCTTTCGTTGCCACTGCACAGTAGATCAAACACAGCTCATTTTTAGTAGCATTTTTTATTTTTTTACCTGATATCTAAAAGATTTAAAAACGGCTCCAAAGAGCTGCAGAACTTAATTAACAAGTTTTTTTTTCAACTGACAAACATTTCTTATACAACTAGCCAAAATACACCCACAGTTTAGGACACAATATGTGTTGGCAAACCCTATTTTATTTTATTTTTTTAAGGAATTATTTTTGAGGGTAACTTCTAAAATTAAGATGACTTGTAAATCCATTTTGCCCTGCTTATTTTCTGGCTGAAATGAAGCAACAATTAAAATAATTTACTGTACAACATTTAAATTAGCATTTAAAAGAGAGAGAATCAGAATAAGGTTACAACAGTACTGTACTCCTGGAATCTGTCCTCAGTGATCAAATCTTTTGAAGACAGCAAGAAAAAACAAAACAAAAATGTCTTCGTTGGAGTTTAGAGATGATTGTTGTGTTCAAATGAAAAGCTTCATCTAACTACTGACCTCAAAACTGCATCTAGACATGAGCTTGTCCAAATATCACAAGACTACAGAGGAAAACAATATACGGCATTATAGATGAACAAAAGTGAATGTTACCAGAAACCTGGAAAGGAAGAAGCAGGTAAAAATTGTGGATGGATGATTCAACTTGTCTGCTGGATTCCTTAGATAGAGAACTTTACTAATTGGCTTTTATGTATGTGAATGTTTCAGTAAAGTGCCCTGAGACAACTTTGTTGTGATTTGGCGCTATATAAATAAACTGAATTGAATTGAATTGAATTGAATGGATGAATGGAAAACAGCAAGTTTATCTAGAAAATGGATTATTGTACTTTTAATCTACCTGGATTTCCTATGAATTATGATGTTTGCAGATGACACTGTGATCTGAAGTGAGAGTAGGGAGCAGGTGGATGAGAGCCTGGAGAAGTGAAGGAATGTTTTGGAACGAAAGTCCATAGGAGCAAAAATAATCCATGTACTGTATATGAATAAGAGTGAACTGGTATAATGGTGAATCTGCAAAGAATGCAGGTGTTAAAGGTAGAGAGTTGAAGTACCTGTGGTCAGCCATACAAAGCAGGGCATAAGAGAAAAAGAAAAAAAAACAGTGAAGTGGATGTCCGTGAGTGTCAGGGGTTATTTGTGACAAAGGATAGCCACAAGACTGAAACAGCACTTTGGACAGAAAGGGAAGGTTTACCACACTGTAGAAAGACCTGCTATCGTGTTTGGTTTGAAGACAGTGACAAAAAGACAGGTGGAGGAAACAAAGGTGACAAAGATGAAGATGTTGAGATTTTCTTTGGGAGAGATGAAAATGGACAGGATTAGAAATAAATGATATTTTATTATAAGAAATAAATATATGAGAGGGAGAGCTAAGGCTGAGTGGTTTTAAGGCAAAGTTAAAGAGGAAAACGTTGGGATGGTTTGGACTTGTGCATAGGCAGACATAGTATGTTGGATATGGAGCTGCTAAGGAGGAAGGAAAGAGGAAGACTACAAAGGGGGTTCCTGGATGTAGTGGAGGAGGATCTTCAGAGGGTTGGTGTGATTAATGAGGATGATCGGAACAGGGTGAGATGGAGGCAGATGACCTGCGGTGGCGATCTCTAAAGGGAGTCAGCAAGAAGAAGAAGACATCCATTATGCCATGAGAATACTGTATCCAGTCTCCATCTATATATTTTTTTTTTGCCAAATTTGTACCAGAGCCATACAGTTGAACAAGTTTGAAAATGGTAAAGTAAACATTAAAACTGAGTTTTTATCAACTCCGACCTCTCATCAGGTGCTCACACCTGCCCAACGCCACCCAGTGGGAGACACCAGAGGTGACTACGCTGTCCGAGTCGGGCTTTGGTAGGACTAAGGTGGAGAGTCGTCTGAATGTCAGCAAGGGGCACGCTCAATACCACACCTTAGAATGTGTGGCCTCAACAGAGGAAGAGGAGGCCTACACACTGTTCTCTATCAGTGGTAATACACACTCCTGCACAAACACACACACACACACACACACACTCACTAGGAGTGCTGATAATGGTGGAGAGTATGCAGGACAGTTCAGGGAAAGTTAGCTTAGCAAATCCTATATTCCGCTAACTAAAAAATTAGTGGAAGCTAACTTTAAATCGCTAACCGCTAAGACGACTGTCACTCAGTCTACGTCACACGTCTTCGTCTCCTCCCATTTGAAGATGTGTCGACCAATCTCATCTCGTCATGTGCACATACAGTGAGCCAATAGCATGCCTTCAACCTGCCTCCGCTGCATCGACCGATCACGTCTTATTACGTCTACATGTAGTAAGCCAAAAGTGAGTCTATCGGGCTCTTTGAGACACGCCCACGACAGGAACAAGTTGTGAACTTTGTTAGTGGACTTAAAATTGGCAAAAACCTAATTTAGCAGAAGTTGATTCCACCAACGGTTTCCAAAGTTAGCAATAATGCTAATTTACTAAACAAAAAATGTGTTATTACTAACTGTTAGTGGATTAGTGTATCTGTGCCCACCATTGTCCAAACCATTCGCAAATACATTGTTTACACACATTAACTCAAACCCATTGACCCTGGGTCTACAGAGGCCAGGTGTGTGGTTACAGATTGAATGAGATTAGTGTATGCTGACTGTGCAAGCAGGGATTATGTGGTATGGACTCACTAATCCTCATCACACTAACAAACACCACTGCTGCAGCTGTCCACCGTTACAATGCAGAAAGAAGGGGCTTTACTAATGTTTTATATAATATATATATATATAT